AACATCCTTTGCCAATGTCTACGTTCTTGCAAAGTGACTTTTGATTTTGTATTGGGGCTTGTAATGCATTAAAGAAGGCGTCTCCAACTCCATAAAGTCTATATATTTTGTTAACAGTATTACTCGATATTTTGATGTCTTCACCAAGATATCCTGACTAAAATCACTAAATATTAGTGTTACTCTGCTACTCAAATTTGGGCAAATATGATATTTTTTACTGAAATTTAAAATTCATCAGTTGAACTTTATCTGCAAGGATTTTTTAATATTCGCCGTACCAATATGCATTTCCCTTTTATTAATATTTACTACCGATTTACTTATATAATATTTAAAAAATAATTTAATTACAAATATAAAATTAGTTTGAATAAACCAATATTTAATACTCAATTATTTGTTTGCGCTTTTTATTTTAAGGTAAATAAAATATATTAAAATGATTAACATTTTAAAAAATTGTTCAAATTCAAATTTAACACTTTTTTTCACGCTGCAATAAATAAAGATAGATCAACAAAATGTTAATTTCAATAAATAATTTCTTCTTCGATTGCAGTCAACTGTTTTTACATGTAGGTAATTTACGCTGGCATTCAAAAAGACAATATTTTCAAAGCTATTCATGTGTATTCACACACAAATGCGTTTACTCTCATACAAACACTTGAAACTGACACACATTGAAGCTAGCAAAGCAAATTAAATAGTCATCAAACCCGAGGTCAGCAAAAAAAAAAACGTAAAATATGACAAAAATTGCAATACTAATAAATTATACAGCTGGCGGCAATCAAAACCAGGGTATAAAATCTTTTTTATATAAGGTAAAGAAATTTCCAATTCTTTAGCAACACAATCACAAAATATAAAATGCAACACACACACACACACACACACCATCATTGCATAGACTATGTGGGAAAGTTAATAAGCAGTTTCTTTGAGGACTTGCGCCACAGGCTTTGAGCCCTGCCCCACACCTCCAACGTATGTATTATTTTTCATGACAGATTTATGGCAAAAAGAGAAACAAAAAACACAAAACCAAAAAAATGTATATATAAAAACCACAGACGATGTGCTGAGAGTGATGATATCAGGCAGGTGGCGAAAGTTTATTGCCCATACGAGTATGGCACAATGGCACCCTGTGAGTTGGGCTTGCAAAGCAATGAAAAAAAGGGAAAATAAAATAAGAGCTGTGGGAACAATTTGCGAAGCTGACGCTCTAATTAATGGAAGACTTTTCCATAGAAAAAAGTACAAAGAAAATTTAGCTAATTAAAAAAACTGCAACAGTAAGAACAACTAGAGCAACTGTGGTAAAACTTCAACTTTGCCGGCTGGCAGGCAAACGCGCTTATATATATATATATATATATATATATATATTCTCTGTATAGAGATATTTGTGCAGCTTGGCCATTTCTTGTGATTATTTCTAAGAACATAGGTTCATGCTGCAGTTTCGAAGACAGCAATACAAATTGCTAGCGGGCTGCAAGTAATTGTCGCTGCTTCGCTACTTTGGATTTGGATTTCTATTTTGGACTTGGCTTTGGCTTTGGCGCCGCTCAACATCATTAAATGTACATAATGGAATTGCTGTGATTTGTTTCTCAAGCTGAAGATTTATTATCTCACCCGGCATTTTCCCGCCCGAAAAATCGGCTTTATGTTACGCTTGCCTGATGACTGAGTGCAGCCAGACGAAAACGAGGACGACAGGACGAGTGGGCCAAACTGGGTACAGATGACAGGGGATTGCTCCCTTTTACCCATAAACATTACAATGACAATCAAAGTCGCTTACACAAAGACATTTGTGAGAATTTATTGTTACGACTGCGGCAATGGGAAAACTTTACGCATTTAATTTGTGCAAAATTTGCTTATGACTCAAAATTTAATTAACCTGACGAAAACTTTGATATCTGAAATAAGTTCCCACTTACGCCATCGATTTAAATTCGATTGGCGGCATATGGCTTATAAATTGTAATTGATATTATTAAATTTATAATTACATTTTAGAAAACCTAGTAAAAACTTTTCTATCTAAACATCGATCCTACTGGCGTTACCTCGATGAAAGTTGGACTTCCAAATACTCCGAATTCTTACTTCGTTTCGAATCGTTTCGAGATGTCTAACACAATTTTTGATATCGTGTAGAAATGTGTTTTCAAAACACACAAGCAATTGACAATCTAGCTAACGGTTGTTTCTCAAGTTTTGATTTGCAGTAACTTTCATTATTTGCATGTCAAGTTATGTCTATGCAAAAGTTTGCAGAGCAGTTTGCACTCACATATGCTTGAAATGATTGCAGGACTTCATTTTATTAAAATATGTCAGTTCGGGCTTGAGTAATGGCTGCAATAGTTAAAATTAATTGCTTGTAAGACTTTTAGGACTACAAAGTCCTTGCCATGTCTGCCCCTTGATCCATCCTGCAAGCGCCTTCAGCATTTCTCATGCCTTCAAAGGTGAACGGTAGTTATCAAATAAATTAAATGTTGACCATGACAAAAAGCTGTCACAGAATCCGTTAAGTTTCCGGCCAAGTTGTGTAGATTGGTGAGATAATATCTCTTCGTATGTCCTAGATTTTGTATATACTGCTATTTGTGTCTGTCGCACACGCAAAATGATATATTTATTATTTGCTACAGTAAATTGTCTAATGTACTTGAAGTAATTAAGAAGCTGGGAATTCACATTCAAAATACATATCAAAAGATGAAAAGAGTCGAAAAGAATCTTACGGCTTCAAAAACAGTTTAATTTAATTTCATTGAATTAACTCAAAGCACTTAACATAAAAAAATATAAAAAATACTTTATTACTGCTATTAATATTTTTTATATATATTTATATACGCAAACTCTACATAATCATAATCCTCAGCATATTGTTAATTTCCCTTAGTGCTGACAATTTAAATGTTAAGCCTAAAAGGTTTTTTTATGCTTGGTATTGAATTGGTAATATGAATTGTATTACATTTGAAAGTGTGGCAAAGATTTTTATTGCTATTGTTATGCATTGAATACCAATGGAATTTTTAAATATTAATGCCTTCTGCAATACATTTATAATCGTCGCATACATTTACATAATAATTATTAAAGACAGCAAAAAATATATGTTATGCATACTGATCAGTGTTAAAGTGCTTAAATTAAATCTATATATGTGTATAAATATCGATTTTTCTGTCACCAAATTTGTTGTCAGCTGTAATCAGGGAGTTGCTCTCTAAAACTGCTACCAATCAGCAACAAAATTAATGCCCAAACATAATTGCTTGGCTCCACAAATTAGCCACATTTAGTGGTTTTGACGGTATGCGCATTTAGGCTTAAGGGGGTTGTTTGACTGCACTTAATACTTGCTACATGCCGGAATCTATAATTTATGTTCGACGAACTTGTATAATTGAATGAATATGGAGATAATGTCGTTGTTTCATCACAATAATTGGCACCTAGGCTTTGTCATTGTTAACTGCGGTTAAGCTAAATCTTTTTGGCCACAAATATCTAGTTTACAATGTTTAAAAATGTACAGTAGCTATTTGATTTTAAATTAATAAAGAGGCAAATAATTTAATCACTTCTTAGCCTATATTCATTACGTATTTCTTAAAGAAAGTTTAAAGTGAATTTAATATCAAAATTTAAAACCACTTAAAGATATATAAGACTTACTGTAGTTAATTTTTATTTTTCTTAGTTATCTGCATTTGTATTTGTTATTGAGAGTTAACCATTCACAGTAAGCCAGTAATAAAATCGTAAACAATTTCAAAGTTTTTATGGTAGTTACCAAATGACTTGTAATTAGAAGCACTTGCATATTCTCAAGTGTTCTTAATCGTAAACTTTACCCCTGCACCTAGTCAGGTGTTATATAACACCCACTTGGATTTGCCTATATAAATGGATTTGCAATGCTGAGTTCATGAATAGTTCATTGCGTTGCCATTAGCCTGGCTGGCACTTACACACACTCACACCTAATTATACCTTCTACTTGGCAGGCTCATTGACCTAATGCGTGTAATTCATTAGCTGCAATTAGAGTTCAATTCAAGTGCCGGACATGGTTCAAGGTCTGCTTTGGCGGCACAGCAAATGTTGCCATTGCCATCGAACAGACATGTAGCACTTCATTAATAGGGAGTGGCATCTGTGCTTCGCAAAGCACATCGCATCCTCCACTGGCCCCTTATAGCAAAATTATAATAATAATGGGGTCGTTTGTTTTCACGGCTCACGTGCTACGTTGGCGTTGTTAAATGCGTCCTTAATAGGCACAGCATTTGTGGCAATGTTTTTGCAGCACACACTGTTGCCTCCAGTCCTGTCCGAGTCCATTGAGTCAGCTTCGTATATATGTAGCTACGTATACGTATGTGTGCACAGCTTGATGATGGCTCATAATTGTGTTACATCTTGCGTGGGTTGCTTTTTGCCTTGTGCTTCCACGAAAATCAAATGAAAAGAAATACGCACAACTGTATAATATGGATTACCCACATATATAATTCATGATGTGAGTGCGATAATTTTTATTCCATTTTCTCATTTATTGCAATCACATGATTCGCATTAATTGAAGCATTTTTTTTTTAAATTCATTTATTTCTTTTCCTTTAAACATGTATATGTAAGTAAGCTTGTGTGAGATATTTTCAGGAGGATTATTTACGAATGAGAATTGTCGATAAACCTGTCAATCTGCAATCAAAACGCATTCAAAAATAATTTCAATCATTTTTAATTGAATCACAAGGAAATTACATAAATTATGTTTAATTTTTTTCTGTAGCGATTAATGTTTATTTACAGCAAATTCTATGTGAAAGGCACTATAAAATGTTAAAAAGTTCCTCACTTGATGTTTTATTCTGATCATATTAAACTTGATATGAAATTTAAGTCTAAAAGAAAAGATTAATCAATAAATGAGCTTTTTACATTTTGAAGCAAAATTCTCAATCACTGACTATTCTAATAACGATTGCCACAAGAATCATGACAAATGTTAAAAGTTCCGATGCAGAAACCAGAGTACCGCAATATAAAAATACTATTTTAAGTGTAAGTAACGCTTCTGAGTTTCCAACTTCACGCAATTACGCAATTTACTTCAAAACGAATGTGGAAAAGTGTTTCTTAACGACCAAAATTCATCAACACAGTTTGAATTCTTTCACTCAGGGCACAAAAAATCCCAAATACATTGAAAGCATCAAGTCCGACCCGGATTGTGGGGTGGTGCCAATGAGAGTTTTTAGAGATCAGGTCGATTGGAGCAGACATCCCAGCTTCTCTATGAAGAAAATCGATTAGTAAGTGTGCAAAATATTATCTACATTTATACAACATTTACTATGATAGTCAGCTGGAGTGCGAAATGCGCTATGCGGAGAATCGGGAGAAATATAATGCACAACTTAATCGGGAAATGGAATTCATAATATCCTCAAAACAAATGATATACGATCAGTACTTTACAAGAAGGTTTGTCTCAAGATAATTACTTTTCTCTTTTCAATTATAATATCATTTCGACAGAGTCTTATCGTACACAACGTTTTGGCCACCCTTGCATACAAAACCCGAGCTGGATATCTTTATAAAAAAGTTTTTTCAACTGACGTCGCCTCAAAAGAAACGTTTAAATTATCTAATGAACACAGAACTGAGCTTTATATAGTAATTCGGAGCCTTTTTAGTAGCTGATAATTTATTTGTCTATTTAAGGGCGCAAAGTTAATAGTAGGTGTACTAGGAAGAGAAAATTAAAGAGACATAATATAAATGAAAAATAATAATAATAAAATGATGTTGCCAATAATTCACTAATGTTGGAAAAGCAAGAGAGATTTATAAGAAGAAGCCTACTTGAATTCGATGACAAACGAAGACTTGGATCACAGTTAAAGCCATATTAAATTCTTTCGATCAATCGCTAATATAGACCAGGCATCATTAATAATTGTGAATATATTAATTGTTTTCTTCTTCAATATTAGTTTTCAATAGCTTTCATTTATTTAGTAAATCATAAATAAATCCAAGTAATGCATTACAAAAATTGGGTTTTGGCAGTGTGAAAATGTTTATTCAACCTTTTTGTTTGCGTTTTTTTTTTAGTTTACTTTCTTTTTTTTGGGCACATGAATCAGATGGCCAAAAGTGTCGTTATTGTATACGTGTGTAAGTGTCTGTTAACAGGAAGTATGCCATCTGTCAAATAAAATTTTCAACTGGATTTTATGTTTTGGCAAACCCTTTCAAGCGACCTTGTTAGATATACAAAATTATACAAATATACATATATATTTAAATTCAATAATATATTTGTTATTGTGCTGCCGCTCATGAAAAAATGTAGTTGGTTTTTTGTATGTACTGAATTGATGTAATTTACCTGCCCATAAATATATCTTCTGGTCGGAATTGTATTTGATTACCTTGTTCATGGTCTTGACAATTATTATTTGTTTAAAATGAATGGCATAACAATACAATTTCCCAAATAAAACAAACAATATTTATCAATAAATCAGCAAAAATATGAAAGGAAATTGTGTTTGCATATGTCGACTGATTTCCACAATGTTGCCATTATTTTGACTATTTCAGATATACATGAAAATTAAATTGAGTTTAATCGAATGGTAAATATTTTATGGTTCAAGTTTAGTGTTATTGAGCACATTTATTTTAAATATTTTTAAAAGTAATTGATTTAACGCAGAGTTAATATGAAAAAGCAGTGAAACCGATATAATATAAAAAAGCTATTTTCGTCTTGCCTAAAATAAATAAATAAATTAATAATGTACAGAATTCTACCCTTGCATCTACAGTTATTTTCAAAATTAAGCACCAAAGTTTTCTTTATAGCCATTAACTGATTAAGATTTTTATTAAAATAAAAATCAGTTGGAAATAGCTAATTTCAGAAACAAGAGTTCATTATGCAATACATACATTTATGTTAGGTTATATATACATACTCAACACATTTTGTGCTTAATTATTATATCCTCTGGGCAGCAGAAAAACAGATGAACGAAAAATATTGAAAACAGTTGCCAGGCTCGAACTCATTTGCACATCAGGTCATGAATATTTGAGTCGAATAATACGCTTCCCTAGGCAGGTGAAACACTGGGAATATGGAAAGCAAAACACTTGCGGTTTTCACGCGCTTAAAACGCAAGCACTTTTTTATTAAAGCTTAATACTAAGTATACCTAAATTTTAAGGGCTGCTAAAGGGTGAGCGCTGGGAAAAGGAAGAGAATGGAGGAGTCACAGTGGCCGCGGCCGGCATCCGCAACTTTGTGCAATAAATTATAATTTCCGCATGCTGAGCTGTGTTTTTTTTTTCCTGCTCTTGGCTCTTGTGTCATACACCTAGATGGCCAGAGATCCAGCCGCTGGGCAATGCCTGCCTGGTCATTTCCGGTTTTTATGATGCTTATGGAAAAAGCCAAATAGAAAAAATCTTTGTTGTTGTTGTCTGCTGCATGGCTGCAAGGTGTGCGCCAATTTCCGGCGTGAGTGGACGTGTATGAATTTTGGGGCTACTTTTAAAATATATTTAAAATGTTTGCCTAGTGAGGCTTTTTGTGTGCCTGTGCTCGAATTGTGTGCAACATACATAAACCAGATGTTGCCAGCGGCTAAATTGTTATTAATTGCGCTTGAAAAACGCACTGCGGCTCTTTAACATTCATTCAACCCAATTACTTAAGTGGTATTTTCCATGAACAGCAGTCGTCTAACCATTAGCCAATTCGTGCGTCTTCTGCTTTTAGAGTGTACAGCTGCAAGTAATTTGTTTTTCAAATAATTTGCAGATTTTCTACAATATTTCAATATTAATGATATTTAAATATTAAATCGAATTTAAACTACTTGAACCCATTTTAATAATACATTGATATTTGTAATCTTAAATCTTCATAGTCAACAAATTAACTTCAAAAGTCCTTCATATTTTTTTTATATTTTTTTTAAGTTAAATTCTCCATTTAACTGTCCAGCAGATTGAAAGTCAATTTCCTATCGAGCAGCCCCATTGCGCACTTCACAGATGAAATGAATGCGGCTGGTAAGTAAGTATGCGTTACATATTTAACAAACAGTTTTCCTGTGCAATCATTGCCAGCCAGTGTTGTGAGTTTTCTTTTTTATTTTTATGGTATAATTCTTATCATCAGAATTTATTATGCCCTGTAACAATAACACTATGTAATAGGATAACACTCTATTCAACAAATATATGTATTTGACTTGACTTATAAAACAATATCGAGCAGACGGAAGTGTTATTTAAATATATGCGAATTATTTGATTATATCAAACAAAGATAAGTCAAACAAAGATAGATCAAATTAAATAACTTTAAGATATTGATCCCGTCTCTCCCATTACATACATACACACAAGGATAAGAAAATAGTTTGATATACACCTCATGCAAATAGAATTGTAGACAATTAAGAAACCGAACCCTTTTCTCCCACTAATGAATTTAAATAAATTACTCTCAAAATATTTACACAGATGTCTAATGCGCTTTGTAGTTACAGCATATCATTTAGTCAGTCTGCCAGTTCTCTGTTGTTCCATAACATTCTCCTTCTATTTTTCTGCTCAGTATTCGCCTCTACAACTCTTTTGGTTGTTTGTGTGTATTTGTGGGCTTGCGTCGTGGTCCTTTGGTCGTAACTTTCGCCCGGGGCGCACAACACTTGAGTTTTGTGGCATTGCAAAATGCATTTTATACGCAATAAAAATACACTTGCCGGTCGGTTTTACAGCTCGCTCGTTTCGTTTGCCAGTCGCTTCTTTTAGAGTCGGTTTGCTGCTATAATATTTTCTACTTATAAAATAAAAGCAGAACGCAGTGGGTTTGCTATATGCAATGCTATCTGCCATGGGCGTTTCTTTCTTTAAGGAAATTTAATGAGTTACTTAATGTTGTTGTTCTGAGCTCCCTGCTCCCTGCTCCCTGCTGCTGCAGTTCATTTTTTGTGTGTTTACGATTTTAACAAGTTGGTTGTTAAATAAATTTAAATTACATTTCCCTTGTTCCCTTTAGGGAAACTCCGCCCGGGTCATTATGATGTTGCTACTTTGTCGGCCAAACAAAAAAGTGCAATTCATGGTTGCCTGTGGCTATCATGCCGCCAATTTATTAAAGCTGCCAACAAATACTTAATCATTTCAGTAGCGTTCGTTCATTTTATTGCGTTGAGTGCAAAATATTATTTATTCATTTATTATGTATTTTAAAAATGGAAAATATATCTGCCGCAGATTTCTGCTTCACATCAAGAGAATATTTACCTCCGATTTTTTCAATGACTGATGAGTCGACATTTTATTTGAGCTTTTGAATTTTGAGAGTTATGGTAATTGATAGCACTTTAAGAGTTCACCGCTTTCAAAAATGTAACTAGCATCTTTCCAGTTTAAGTTGATCAAAGGCCATGAAAGCCGGCAAAAATTTCTGATTAAAATCTTTAAGTCTGTTTAATTCTCATATTCACGCAATATTTAATATTTCGCGTCTGTAGTATTTAACGATTTTGATAATTTAATGCCCTGCATTATTTTTAAATTTAATTAGCGTTAACTTTGATATGTTTTTTAAATAGGTCCACAGAAAACTAATAAAACTAAGTTAACTAATTTTTTTGTAGTATACTTTTATGCCTTGTATAGTATTTCATGAAAATAAAGTTGACTGGCATTCATAACGCTCAATTTGATATAAATTTGCAATTGGGGTAACTTTTATTTGATGGAGACAATGAAATCAAATCAAACTACAACTCATTGTCTAGATTTAACATATGTTTTAAGGGTATAATCATAATGAAAGTATCAAATGTTGTTTCTCTTGGCTTAATGCAGTGATCTCGCTATTACGAATATTTAATTCAATTAGGCCTGAAATTCAAATTGCAAACACAAATGCAGCACACAATCAGCTGCAATAAAAATCGATTAGAATATCGACTTGATACACGCATAGGCAATTGCAAAATGCAAATGAAGAGTAAATAATAAAATTGAATTGCACTGTGTAATTGGAGCCGGCAAATGATGTGGCCTCCGTTTGCATCAACGGCCACAATCAGCAAATGCCATTGATAAACGGGGTCGAGGCGAAACTGCGTTAAAGGCCATGCAAGTGCCACGAAGTGGTAATCAAATGTGCAGCATGCCCCCATAAGTACACACAAGTAAATCGCAGGCACACACATTCAATGCCTGCCCCACTGTGCTCCCAGGTTTTGATTCACAAACAAGAATACTAATATCATCTGCAAGTTATTTGTTTTAGACTCAATTTTATTTTGCATTAGGCAAATTTATGTAATTAAGAAACTAGTTTTAGAAAGACTTGCTCAGTTATTAAATTTTATTTCACTTCAGCTTAATTAATTCAACTTGATTTTACTTTAAATTCTTCGAGAAAGACTGGCTGCCTTCACTAAACGGCAATTGGCTTATCAATTTGTTAATTTACACATATTATAGTTTATTCATTCATATTTTATTATTTATGTTTATATGACAATTTTTCATTTTATTGTTACTATAACTGATTCTACGTGTTAAAAGTAAAAACAAATTTACTTGCAGTCTATACTCAATTTTTGTATTTAAATAAGTTATCCACATCGGTTTGTAGCCTTACACATTCAATAACAATTACAAAATGTTCAAAAAATTCGGATAAGAAATATTAAATAAAAACCATTTTGTGGCTAAACTTGACGTTTGAAATTTTGTTTAATTCGAATGAAAATCGTTATGTGGAAACTGGTCCACACTTTGGCAGTGTAAAAACGAAAATGGCTGCCAAAATCCATTTTGGCATTTGACGGCCATTGGAATCTGAAAAGCGGGCCAAGTGACGAGTTTATTCGGGCCAAAGTCATAAATTGAACAGAAATCGGGATTTGGTTTTTAGTGTGGGCGGCGTTTTTGGGGATAGATGCATTGCCACTGTTTGGCTATGCATGTTAAATGAAATTATTTCCGGTTTTTTTTTGCTGTTATTTCTTCTAAAGCATATGGCGTATGCGTATCGTTTGCTCAATCCATCAATCAGCGCGAAGAGCCCAAGTCAGAGGCTCATTTTTTGTTGTGATATATTCTTTTTCTGGACAGCACAACAAAACAAATTGACTTAGATTTACGAGTCTGCCTGTCTTTATTTGGGAGTGTGTGCTAGTTGACACTGTGGGCTGCAACGTTTGAAGGCAACAACTTGCTGAACCATTCTAAAATTTATTTTCACTTTGTGGCAAGCATTTAAACTTCAACACTTTAATACATTTATGTAGGTCAGGTATGTTATTCATTTTTTTTACAAGAGTGTAAAGTAAAATGTAAATGTTTGACAATAGAAACGGGCAGATAAATTTTAAAGTCTTAGCCTAAGCCTAAAATGTTGAATAGCTTATGGAAATGGAAGCTGAGGCTATTTGAGCTGGAATTAGCTCCCGGCTGAATTAGTAAGCTTTAAGTTGTTGTATATACACTGCTTTTTCAGAAGAGCCTATTTATGTCAATTAAATTTCTTTATGTATCCACAGCCAATAATGCAAGAATCAGTTTTACCTTCGGTTTTATAATAACCATCAAAAAGTACTCACAGTGCATTTGCACCATAGCAACATAGATATACATCTTTATATATCTTTGTATTTATATCTAATGTGTATTCCCTACAGAAGCCACTTATTTGAACTTATTTACCAAACGTTGCTTGGCCAATACTCCACTGTAAGCCATGTGTATTATAGGAGTCAGGCTCGTTAAAGCCGATGGCTATTTTAAATGTTGCAAACACAACTCAATTACGCTACATTGGACTCGGCACCCCACACTATACACTCCACAGCGGAATCACCCATTTCCCCCTTAGGTGTACCTACCTAATCCACTAGAGGCCATCACACAAATTTACACATGGTTGGGTGTGTGAGTTTGAAAGCGTTTTCGAGCCAATTGACGGCAGTCATGCTGGTTCGCAGGTGTAAAAGTATTTTAGCCGTCTGCAATTTGGTCTATTAGTGCGTCTGTGAAGTGTGCATGTGTGTGAGAGAGAGACAGCGAGTTTGTGTGTGTGTTAATTACATTTGGCTAAAGTTGCCCAAAATTGAATTACAAGTTTTTGCAAGCATTTAGGCAAAGTATTTTTGTATATATTTGTTTTTGGTTTTTGTTATATATTTTTTATTTTTGTTTTGCTTCCTTCTTTTGTTGTTGCTGCCACTTTGGCCACACACGTCCGGGGTTGAAGGCGAAAATGTAAACTTTTCAGCATGCAGGCGAGAGTTTTTGGCAACAGTTGTTCCAAGTTGCTGGTAACTGATAATTAAAGCGCTGCAGCACAGCAGTATTTCATCTAAATTTACTGTCTTTTCTCTTTTTTAGGAAACATAAAATATTTGATTTTAGATTTATGAAAATGTGCTTCAGGAATTGGCAAAAACTTGAATATTTTAAATTGATGGCGGCCAACATAAATAATCACGGATTAAATTCAAGTGCAGTGGTCGCTCAGTAATTAAATTATTTTAAAATATATATGAAAATAATTTTGGAAATAGAAATAAAACTTAATAATACTATTTTTTTTGTTTAATTTAACGGAATTCAATGCTAATTAGATTGCTGAGTTAGAATAAAACATTTCAGACATACATCGGATATATCTGAACTGAAAATCTTGGTTGTTAAATTGTTATAGTTATCAAACTTTCAATCAACAAAATGATTTTTTTTGCTTAATTGCTTAACTTTCATAATTAACCGCAAAGCAAAATTAGACTCAGGTAGCAGTTGAAACTGCAACGCAGTGCACTTTAAGGGTAGTCGGCTCAAATCAATGCTTAACTGGAAAACCAATGCCTTCGCCTCCTCCACCGGTCACACAGTTCGCTGCGCTTTCGACCAGTTGGAGCTCAATGTTGCAGCTTCTTTTACCTCATTTGGCTGCATTTCCTACAGGCCTCATTAACCTTTTCGTTCAGTCCATCCATTGTCTAATTTTGTTGAGCCAGTGTCCCTGGCTGCTGGTGCTGCCACGCCCATCCATTACGCTGCGCTAACAAACCATTTAATCGGGACAGTGCAGGACGAGATGATGGCTGCCATGGCTCCATGCTCGCCAAGTGCGAATAATAGAAATTCATTGCCAAATTGCGTAGAAAATCGCTGTGAGGACTTGGAAGAACTTGCTGCCGCTGGCAAACTTGGCGCCGCCTTGGCAAAGTAACTTTTCGAGGCACCGTTTTAATTACCACAAATGGCGGCAGTAAGCGCATTACGTGTACGCCACGTTGCAGTTGCCGATAAAATCGCATTTAATGCAAGTTAATTAAAATGCGTCGACTTGGTCAAGTTCGACTCTCTCACTCTCTCCCTCTCTCTTTAATTAGAACTTATTCTAACAAAAGGTGTACTTCGTTAACTTCATTCCCTCTACAGTTAAGGCCGAATTGTGTTCTCAATCCAGTCCATATAGTTTGCAACACGGGTATAAACCCCTGGCCAACCCTCCAGTCCGCAACGATTGCCAAAGGAGACAACGCCCTCCAGATACCAAGCATTTTTGAAACGCATCAGCGGACCACCCGAGTCCCCATCACAGCTATCCTGAGAGAATTCGCCGCCAGCGCACAACTGGGAGGGAATCACATCAATATTCCGCGTGGCGAATTTCTTAACACAGTAATCGGGATCTGAGACGGGCACATCAAGACGCTGCTTAATGTTGCTTTGGCGTCCTGCAAATGGGAAAAGTAAGGATATGAGTCATGTAGGTACAAAATATAAGTATAGCATGTTTTCTAACAAAACTATATGATTGAATATTCTTAGCTAGATATTTCTAGATATTCCTTTTACTATGCTTATAAGCTTGTAGAGGGTATTTTAATATTGTTTTCAAGTTTGCAATGCATTGAAGGCGTTTCATAATATTTGCGAAAAAAAAGTACTGAGTTCGCTGCAGCTAGTAAAACAGAATATATACAAAACAATTTGATTAAAATTTATAAAAAAATGATCATATTTCAAGATCCGAACAAAAATGTATAAAATATAAAATATTATCTTAAATGAGTTTAAGACTCGAATTGCTGGCAAAAGTCATGACGAAATTCATAATAATTTTCAATATAATCTTTCAACAATTTTATTTCTTTGGCGAACTGTTTTTTGAACTTTGAACGGAGGTTGTATATCCCTGCCTAGAAACGAATGGTGATCGGAATAAAATTCGCAATAATAAAATATACAAAAATATATTGGAAATAGATTGGCTGGTAGTAACAACAAATAAACTTACTCAGTAGTGTCCGTCCCCAGCCACTGACAACGAGTTGCTCCATATTGTCAATGGCTGAACGGACGCTGGCCAGAGGCAGACAGACGGGTTGAATGTACGCGTTGAGAGTGACAGGTGCGTTAAGGCGTACGAGAGCGATATCATGATGCTTATGCCTACTAGCTGGATCGTATTGTGGATGTGGTATAACATCTTCGACACCAAACTCGAGAATGGGTGGATTACAGAGGTCATTCACGCAATCCAAGTCACTGCCGATGTCGTACTCGCCAAGGCGCACTTGGATGCTAATAACATAGAATTAGTATATGGCATAATGGAAGAGATTTCAATTACTTACAGTTGCCCCACTACGGTCAGAATTTCGCCAGTGACACAATGGGCAGCGGTTAGTATATATCGATTATTAATTAAGCTGCCGCCACAGTTCAAAAGGCGTTGGCCATCACCTGATAAATAAAGCGTATTAATAACTTTTGGGATGTGTGAGCATGCATATGCTTACGACTTCTATATTCCAAGAGAGCCATCCATACAAAGTCATCCAGCGCTGTGTCGTTGCCATTGTAAATTCGATTCTGAAATGAGTTTGGGCCACAAGCCGGTGCCTGAGGCAACAAGTTGTTACCGTTATTATTTGTACTGGTTTGAGTTGTGCTTGTTGTAGTTGTTGCTGTTGTCGTATCAGTTGACCGAATTGTTGTTGTTGTTGTTGTTGTCACTTCAACTGGCATATTTGCTGTTGTGCGCTGCATATCCGCGAAATTTGTATCTCGAGTACAGCAAACATACGGCTGTCGGCCAAATCCATTCAAACATTGCGAATTCTGCAGAAATCGGCGCTCATCGTTGCTGAGGTTTGGCTTCTCGAGGACTCTGAGCAGACTGGGGCAGTCATAGATGGATATGCAGTAGCCAACATTTTGATTGGGATTGCGGCAATCTGAAATTATTAAACAGTGCAATCAATATTTTTTTTTACTTTTGTTTCAACTATGATATTTGATTGGACATTATTAGTTTTGTTTTTATATACTTTTCGCTCCTTATGAATTTAGTCAGACTGAAAAAAAAAATAATAAAAATGAACAGCATTTATGATTGTTTTTTCAAGTATTATGAGTTTTTACTCAGCATATTTAAGGTCTGTTTTCACTAATATTATCAATTGTATTATATTATAATATTTTTCATTACCAATCATTTAATGGGTCTAATCGCTTAGGTCATTTGTAGCTAAATGTTTATTCAACGTATCACATGAAAATTATGCACAATATGTGTAAATTCCAGCAATTAACTTGATCTAAGTAAAATAGCTGTTCAACAAGTTCAAAATTATAATTTTCATATTTGGTGGATAACAATTCAATTCATATAATTGTTCGGTATATTTACTCAACAACAAATGATTTTGAGCTGTGTTAAAATAACAAAGTTCTTTATGGACAACACAATTATCATTCTGAGAATGTTATCAGTAATATATATTTATTTTTTTAAATTTGTACATAAGTAGCGGCAGGGCTCCAAGCTGTTTAAGCATAAAGCCAATCATGATAACCGAACATATATTTAATTCAGTTCAATGAAATTATAAATTATTTTAAGCACAACGTCGACTCAATTAGTTAGTCATTGCTCTCGAAAGTAGAATAACCTCTATTATATTTATAGACAATGGGAAACCACAGTAGATGCAGAGTCGTATAATCAACTTCACACGGAATGATTCACTGAGAACCCGTCAATTGACATTGTTTTTTTTATTTATTTATTTATTTTTTTGTTACTGACTTTGTTGTGCGTCAACTGCGCAGTGCAACAGAAGCGCTGAAAAAAGCAGGAATCCCAGTGATCTTAAAACGAATATCATGCTGGGAAATATCACAATTGCAGCAGCAACACACGCGATTCGAAGCCAGCCAAAAATGTACTTTCGATTGCGGGGCACACGCGATTCTTCGACCTTGACGCTGGCGCTGATCGAGTCGAACTAATATATGTGACAGCTGCAACGCATCTAAATATAAAGTGACTACAAATCAGAGTATGAGCCTCGCTTACCTGCTTGCAAAATTATCGTTTAAGCGTCTCTGTTAACGGCGAGCGAAGTTCTCTGAGCGTGTGCGTAAACCGGCTCTATTATCAGTGAGCAGCCCAGATTGTGAGCAGCGAGAGTGGGATTCACACTGGTCAGCCTATGGACAGTGAGCAAGAGCAAGAGCAAGAGCAAGAGCAAAAGACAGTCGGAGTTCGTATAAAATTTAGAGAGCGGCGATAGCTCTTCTCAACAGCACCCAAAGCACTCACCAAATACATAGAAGAAAACGAATGGGTATTCATTGATTAGAGTTTATACTCTGATAAAGTAGGTAGAAGAGTATATTGTTTATTGGGCAACGAGACTAGAGACTTGAAATATATCCAACGAAATGTTTTAAGATTATTCCTGATCTCAAGTATAAATGAAAAAGTGTAAGCAGGGTAGGCCATACAGTAACACTCAGTATTGTACACACTTCACTCTGTTTTTTCTAACACAACAAGAAAGCCAAAAAGCAAAACCCAAAAATAACATAAAATAAATATATATATACTAAACACAAATACAATTTAATAACACAATGGAAACGGACACAGGTGTCGACGATAAACCAACACGTGGCTCGGCATATGTAAAGTCGATGTCAAAACTGTATGATGGGCAAGGCCGATCATCGCAGCGTCAATCAAACTTTCGAGTGCCAAATGCTGACAGAAGTGGTTCGCTGTATCGATTTACGAATCGCTGTGACGAGAGACCCAGCCGACCCAATTACCGGCGGGAAACATTCATAGTAACGCCAGTGATTGAACTCAAGTACAAGCCGAATGATGCCGCCGATATAAAGAGTCGGGAGCCCAGCTTCGCAAAATTCAAGATACCCTAGTAAGTGATGGAAATGTTAAGCATTAGCTTCGACTAATCTTACGTAATTTAAGTGAAATGATATGCGCAAAACGGTATTCGGACTGGAAAAGGGCTTACGAGGCACAGCTCGAGCATGAGATAAACCAGAATATTGATTTTCAGAGAACAGCAGCCGATGCCTGCTATTTTGTGCGGTGAGTCTCAGCTCAGTAAATAATTGCAATAAGTGTTAAATGCTTTTGCAATAATTCCTGCATTTAATTTAGCTGCATGGCGATTACGACATTATGGCCACCCTTACATAATATGACTGAGGTGAAGCATACGAGCAAGCATTTCTTTCAGCTCACCGAAAAGGAGAAAATGCATCTCAAGTATATTATGGACACCGATATCACGTGAATTATGCATATGTTTTCTAAAATTTATATTACGAAATATGTACAAAAAAACGGAGCTTGCAAAATAGAACTCTTCAAAACGAAACTCCCTGTCTCTAAATATCACTCAAAGCACAACAGTTCGGGAATCGAGCTGAAAAAGAGACATCGTTTTGCTTAAATCAGATCCACTCTTTTATATCTTATCTGCGTGGTAGGTGCTTCTAGTATTCAGTCACACTAAAATTTCCAAACCTATCTTGTTTTTGTTTGGGAATTTTGAAATTTTGCAATTCCTTTTTGATGGAAATTCCAATGTGTTGGGAATTCCAATTTTTTTAAATCAGTCTTCAAAAGGGAAATACCCAAGAGTATAGATATTTGTTGTTGCTGACATAGAGTTCAAAATAATGATAATAACATGCAATTCATTTTATGTGCATCTGTAGTTCGTTATTGATAAGAGACGATTCATTCTTTTTATAATTAATTGTATATTATGTTCTTACAAATGTACATCCAAACATATTCACTAAGAACTTAATATAACCAAGAATAGTTAAAACTAAACTTAAGTGTGGATTTCTACATTTTGTTACACTTACACAGAAACTGTGGAAAGCCGGCTAAATAAGCATCTCAAACACAAATATTTTATCTTTTTGGCCCCCTCTAAAGCGCATAATGAACGGAAACAGGTATCAGAAACGAACTGCACAAAAACCAAAAGTTTTTTTGTTGCTTTCATTTCGGCATGCTTTTGCATTTAGCCTTCTAGCATCGAACCGAAACGAAGCGAATTGGATCAGTTGGCTTCCAACTGCCACTGCGTTGTCCTCCCACTCCAACTTCGGCACCCGCACCCGCACCCGCTCCCATTCCCATTCCCCCTCTCCTAAGCCAAATCAGCTTTGTTTGCTGGGAGGGATGCATAGTTGTAGCTCTTAGCCTGCACTCTGTCTGGCAATCCCTTTAGAAATTGACGAGTAACTCGGTTGTTGTGTTTCTATACACTGTGCACCACTTCAAATGGAGCATATTACTTTGATAATTGTTGATGATATCTTGCAGAGATGGTTTAAATATTACTGTTTGTTATTAATATGTTCCTCTAATTTCAATTCACATTCAGGCTCTTGCCGAGTGTATCTTTGACAGAGCATTGCTTAGTCGAGAGATTTGAACACGAACATTGCCTTTTTTGCTGCCCACTCATAATTCCATGTCCGGCTTAAACTGCCTTAAAGCAAACAGGTGGCCCCATACTTGAGCTAAGTTGCGAGTATTTCAACGGTACGTTTTTGCAGGACTCTCGACTAACACTTAGTTGCTGAGTTGTGTTGTTTGGGTTGCTTGTGTTGTGGCTGTCGCTTGCTCCATTGACATTTTTACCATGTTGGCATCCTTTGAGGCGGGCAACTGACGCCGCTATTGTCCACTCCTGTCCAAGCTTAGTTGTTGACTTTTTTGTCATCTCCCATTTTTTTGTGTCATTTGTGTCGTTTTTGCTTGTTTGGCCTAGGTCAGAATTTGCTTTTTCATGGCAACATTTATCTCAGTTGTTTGCCGGCTCGCCTCTACTATGCTCCTTGACGCATTGTTTAATAATTTTCCTGACATTACCCATTGATGATGACTAAAGAGGGAATCACGACAATTGAGACAAGCTGTGAAGAGGCATTTGCCAAAATACACAAAATATATAGATCGTGGAATTATACGTCTGAAATTCGGAATGTAGCTGTTTAAATGTATATGAAACATGGTACTGAGGAAACTTTCGAACCAGAAACTAAATTCGATGTATGTAAAGATCTGATGCTTAGGATCTTAGGTGTTACGATGTACATTGTAATTCTTCTTAATATCTTCCCCTAAATTGTGCAGGGTATTTGCGCGTTGTACAATCCTTGCTGCTGCTGCATACACCCCTCGGATGCTGTTCGACACCGGTGAAACTTGTTGGCAATTTCTACAGCCTGGCACAATTTAACAATGGCTACCGCTGGTTTTGCCTCTGCTGCATGTTGCTTGGTCAATTTTGCAGCGTGGCTGGAAATAATGATGAAATTACAGCTGCTGTTAAAACTGATGTTGGTTATCAGCGTGTTAGATCATTTGCGTGTCGGCTACCAAAGCTTATTAAAAGTTTTCTTTTTCTAACTTTTGAGCGATTTCTAGCTGCATTTTTAGCATTGAAGTGGTTAGTCTGACTTTAGAGCAACCATAAATTGCAGCAAAACTATTTTCAAGCTGGATTTTCGTTTACAGTATTTGGATTTAAAGCTTAACTCAAATGCTGAACCTGCCAACTCATGTTAACTGATAAGCTCATAAACTGTTTTCATGGAAATTAGCACATACATAATATGAATAAATATTTAAGAGGGTTTCAAGTGGTTTCAAGGGGTAAGGAAAGTCACTTTATACTCATTTAAAATGGTAGAGGCATAATTAAGAGATTATTTATTATGAAAACATTATAAGCGAGGCTCATTTTAAAGATAAGTAAATGAATAAAGGTCAATTTAAATACAAAAATAGCAGCGCAGGAATATGTCTGAATAAGTAGTAGACAAGTCGATTCCAATGCTGCAATATTTAAAGGCAATCAAGAAGACTCTTAGGGCTTTTTAGGTTAGAGCCTTCAGTATTATTAATGTGAGCAGTCTTTCCCATTTTCCATTTGTGTCTAACAAAGTGTATAAGAAAGCCCATCTCATTCCCTATTCTCTAAATCATAAACCATTGAACTTTAACCTCTTCAAGTCTAGTCAAACTCACTCTCTGTGTAAATATTTGAAGATTTAATAGCTCAGCCTGATTCTGTCCATCAAATTCAGCACTAAAATTCGCAATGCGCAATAAAAACCCATTTGCTTAATTGTATTCCTAAATAATTTCCACTCAGCAATTAATGGCAATAAAATTAGCGGAGACTTTGAAAATTAAAAACCATTCCCATTATCTACTTTCAATTTTATTATTATTAGTTATTTATTTATTATCTATTTTTCTTCTACTTTGTGGTTGATAATTACGTATGCCAATCTGGTGTCAGAAGTTTGTCTAATAAAAGTTAAAACACAATTCAGAGTTGACAGTCATTGCAAAAGAGTTTATATATTTATAAAGTAAAGAACGCTTTAAAAATGTTTTTAATACAAATGATTACCAAAAGTTAAACTACAATTTTCATTGAAAAATTAAAAAAAAAAAGAGTTTAAAAGTGTAAAAGGTAAGCAGCGCACAAAATTCTAAATAATACAAATAATTACCAGAAGTCAAATTATAATTTAAACTGGAAAAATTATTTTAAAAAAAAAACACACAAATTTTAACATATGACAATAGCAATGTTTATATAAAAACAAAACGGCGCCAAATTTACAACTCAATTTTTTGTTAAGGTTGTAAAAGTGCACTTTTTCCGGAATTGCGCATAAATTTCACTGATAACAAACAAAAATAAATAAGAATTATAATGCTAAAAGCAAAACAGAAATATTCAAATTAGCGCAAAGGACAAACACAAATGCTATTTACATACATGTGTGTATGCCAGTGTGTGTGTATGTATGTGTGAATAACTGGCGACCTTTTAATTTAAATTTGACCAAAAGCAGCCAGCGCCCGCAAATTAATGAACTAAAAAGAATGCATAAAAGCCACGGACACCACTGAAACACGCAGGGAAGCCACCGCGACTCCGGAAAACACATGTTCAATTAGGTAAATTTATATTTGTCTGACATTTTTATGGCATTCGCTGCACATGTGTTGAGTGTGTGTGTGTGTGTGTGTGTTGTATGCAAAACTCTTAGTTCTGTAAAGTGCAGTTTAATTAGTGTTGCGAAATAGGCAAACATTTCCATTGTCAAGTGCTGCACAATTTCAACTGCGGTGCTTCTCTCAACAGAACAATTTCGCACTTCTATTAAGTTATTCCTGAGCAGCAAGCCCAGCGAAAGAGTATTTCTTTTCTCATTTGTTGACAGATTGGGCTCGGGGACATGAAGATGGGAAGGAAGGAAAGGGTGAATTGCAATTTGTTCATTAATTTCAATCTAAACCAACTTGCGTCTATGTAAAGTGGAAATTTAGAGCTTACCTCCTTGATTGTGTTAGTGATGAGCACAATTGAGATATTTTTAGGGATATTAAAAACACTATATTTTTAAATGTATTTAAAAGATCGGCAGCTTAGTCCATATTTATATATATTTTTTAAATATATCAGGTAAAGGAAAATAATTTACCGACTCTTGATAAATATTTATTCATATATTCATTCACTTGGAATATTCCAACACTGCATTTTTGAATGTTGCTGTATTTTATTTAATATTGTATTTTAAAGCATAGCATATTGCGTATAGGAATATAGTATGTTGGAATATAGGTTTCCAGCTAACGCCGGATATATTCAATTATTTTAAGTAGGATATTTAAGATTCCATATGATTAAGCTAGTTTTCTTTTAGCCGCATGTTTTCCTTCCTACTGCAATTGAATTTGTCTGTTGATTCGATTAGCATTTAGTACGCAGCAGCTGCAATAATAGCAACAACTGTTTGGGGGCAGTCAAGTCGTAATGAAAAGGGCAACTAAAAACCCATTAACCCACATTTATGCTCACTTTAGTGCTTCAACGTGTGCCGTTCAGCTGTCTGTGGCATGATTGTGTGTTTGTGTAGCAACAACCATGGGCTGGCCATTCGCATGGATATGTAATGCATTTCACTGTCGGATAACCTTTTCACTTTGCAGCTTCAGATCCCCAAAGAGCAAACAGCAAGCGGCAAATGGCGTCTACGACACTAGTCAACACTACACAACAGCACACAAAACAAACAAACAAGCAGCAACAACAATAGCAACAAAGGTGTGTCAAATGTTGCATGTCGCACCCACAAGCACACACACAGAGAGAAAGCCAAATGCAGCCTCTGTCACATGCTTTATTAACATTTGTTCTGCCAAAGCGTCACAAGTGGCACTTGACGCTGTTTCCTTGGTGCGAGTATAGCAGCCTACTAGCAGGCATCTCAGTCTGGCGGCGCAAGCAATAGAATGCTGCACCGCTCGCACAGTTAAGAGCACGTCTGCACATCTGAGCGCCGCGCTTAAGAGAGTGAAAGCTTTCGCTCTCGCTCGCGACGCGTCAATTGCCGAAGTTGTATTCGGCTTTTACAGCACGGCTTGCACACACTCAGTCACTGTCTCGTCGTGCAGGAGCGAACACTCAGCAGCGGCGCACCAGAGTATGCTACACATACTTTATCGCATTTAAGAAGGCGTAGTTTTCGACCTGTCAAATGGCAACTCAAAGTTGCATTTGCTCATTTGGCTCGCACCGTTTGTGAAACGTAAAATTTGCAGTCAAATCGAAAGGAAGCTGAAAGAATGCCTTCGGTAGGGATGGTCTCACTAAATGAAGACATTGAAATTGTATGACGGGGTATTGCTTCTTCTCGTCTTCTCTTCTATTCTTCTTTTTTTGTTTTTATTTTTGTTTTTGTCGAAGGGGCAATAACTTCTGTGGCCCTCGAAGTTCGGGGCGCGTCCAAAGTATCATATAAAAGTCGTTGAGGTGTGCTACAAAAAGCGAAACTTTGTCTGCTGCCAGCAGTTGCATGAAAGGCAAAAAAAGGAGAACAAAAACAAAAAAAAAAAACATAAATGTTTGTATTTATTTGTATAGCTGTTCATTAGTTGGAAGTTGCCATAATTTCAATTTTATGATTTCACCTGCATATGGAGCCAAAATGTTGCCATTTCCTGGTTGGAAACTGCAACTGGCACTAAAAATTAGTTTTGCTTGTTCTTGTTAAGTGAAAAATATTTTTGATTGGTTTTGCAATTTGTGCTGATGGCCAACAAAGTTTTTCCTGATTTGCAGTTGCATTTTTTATTGAATATAAATTGTATCTTGCAGATCAATAAACTTTAAGTTGGCTCTTAATTATTAAATTTAATTTTGTGCATATGTAATGCAGACAATATGTGTTACCAAATAGTACAAGAGTTTTTGTGTTCGCTTAAACTTTGTTTTTTATAAAATTTAACTATATTTCAAAGAAAAAAAACTAATAATATCCAATTTCCGATCATTTGGCGTTCTGGCTAACTTAGCGGTCCCAAATAATAATGTATTTGCATTGTATTTTTAGATGCAAGCACACTCACTGACTTTTAATTCATTTGAAAATACAAATTTCAGAGTTTTAAATTACAGAGTTTATAGAAATATAAATAAAAAAAAATTTAAAAAAATTGTCAGTTAAATTGCATGTGCACTTCCTACTCTTCAGGATGTCATCATCAGCCAAAGAAATGCTTAAGAAGGGTTCTACCCAACTCACCCACATATGCGAATTGAATGTGAAGAAACCATCCACTCATCGACGCCTCGTTTCTGTGATAGCGACTATTTCACATGCCTCACGTAACCCGGAAACCATTTACGATATGTTATCGAGGGGTGTCAACATCATCAGATTGAATTTCGCCCACGAATCGCATGTGGCACATACTCAAACTATTGAGCTGGTGCACAATGCTATTGAACGTATCAAAAGTGAGACAGGTCAAACAATAGCGGTTGCATTTGCAGTGGACACACGGGGGCCTCAGATTCGCACCGGATTACTGGATGGTGGCAATGATATATTACTACGAAATGGAGAAAATATACGATTATCCATTAATCGAGATCTTTACGACAAGGGAAGCAAGGAGGCCGTCTATGTGGACTACCCGAACATTATAAATGTGGCAAAGCCAGAGGATCGAGTTTTCATTGACGATGGCAAACTATTTCTAACCATTCTTGAGGTGGGCGTCGATGGACTGCTCTGCGAGGTTCATCTAGGTGGACTGCTGGGCAATAATTGCAATGTTATATTGCCGGAAGTGGAAATTGATTTGCCGGCTGTGTCTGAGAAAGATATGGATGACTTACAGTTCAGTGTGCGAGCCAATGTGGATATTGTGTTGGCTTCGGGTCTGCGTTGCGCTAAAAATATTAGGGACATACGCTCGGTGCTTGGGGTCAAGGGCAAGCACATCAAGATCATAGCCAAGATCGACAGCAAGATTGTACTGGGTCGTATGTCGGAAATAATAAGCGCATCGGATGGCATCCTTCTCAGTCGTGCCGATCTCGGCACACAAATACCAATCGAGAAACTTTTCATAACACAAAAGACGGTTTTGGGGCGATGTAATAAGGCGGGCAAGCCAGTAATTGTTGCCTCAAACGTACTGGAGTCGATGCGTTACAATCCATTTCCCACACGTGCCGAGTGCTTTGATCTGGCCAATGCAGTGATTGATGGGGCTGATTGCATAATGCTCTCCTCTGAGGTAGCAATTGGCTTGTATCCCATAGAGACTATAAAGATTTGTGATACGCTGTGTCGTGAGGCCGAGAAGGTCGTCTGGTATCGGAATCTTTTCGAGGATTTGGTACATGAAACGACCGCAGAGCTGGATGCGTCCCATTCAACAGCGATTACGGCCGTAGAAACAGCGAGGCGTACGCAAGCAACTCTCATAATTGTGCTTACATCATCGGGTCGGTCGGCAGCACTACTTAGCAAATTTCGACCACGGTGTCCAGTTATGGCAGTCACCCGCTGCGAGAGGGCAGCTCGCTGGGTTAACTTGCATCGTGGCATAATACCACTGCTCTACTCGATGGAATGTGGCGAAACCTATGCCAGTGATGTTGATGATCGGGTGCGGTTTGCATTGACTAGCGCCAGGAAGAGTGATTTAATCAATGATGGCGATCCCATTGTGATCGTAAGCGCGTGGAAAGATGGCGGAGGCTTCACCAACAATGTCCGTGTTGTCTATTCATTTTTTGAAACAGACCGCTTGGATTGCTTATTCCGTGCTGACCACACTAGCTCTCGTAAGAACACCAATCTGCAATCAAAACAAGGTTAGCCGGACTAAGGGATGAACTATCTTAGTTCACTCTGAGAAGAAAACATTTTGCCACCTGTATACATCATTTATAGTGTCAAGACCAACACCACCATCTTAGTTGTTCCCATTTGAACTAGTCAAACCAAAAGTGCCAATGAAATTTTATATTTTTGATTTATTAGTAGCTGTGTTTGATTTGCAAGTTTTCGGCAGGTATTCTATTTCTGTGTATTGTAATAAATGTGCTGAAATATATAAAATTAAAAACCAAAAAAAAAAAAATACTCTAATGATGTGGATCTGTTTTCTATGCAAACAAGTTCTGCTTCTTCAAATTTTGATGCTGAAAATTGAGTCTCTATTTACTGGGAAAAATTACATGGTTAACGAGCAAAGCCCATTACGGAAATAATGTTTTTGCTGCCGGCATCAAATCTGATAGTGAAAGCCATACATTTTAGTAGAGAAACTTAAGAAGCTTTTTTTGCCAGACAATTTGCATGCAAAGTGCAGAAATTTATTGATATATTGAATTATTTATGCAAATACACAAGGGCAAATCGAATATTGAAATTCAATGCGATATCAAAAAACATGCTCGCTGGCTTCTTGAACGATATTTAACTTGGGTAAATAATGCTTGTGGCTTTTTAATAGTTAAATTTATTAGACGTTTTTCAGAGTGCTATTTTTCCACATTTTACGTGTGTAAACTCGGTATGAAATTATTTTAGTTTTATTTATTTTTTATGCTCCTTTTTTTGTTTGCCGGACTTGCAAACACGCAAATTCCAGAAGTCATAAATTTACCGCTTTACGCCAAAAAGTAGACAACAGTATTTTTTGTTGCCACGTGCAGTTTTCCGTTGCGGCTTCGTGACTTTGCCAAATGCATATGGAAGAAGCTTGAAATTGTAGATGGAGACGGAGTTGAAAACATAACCAGACCCAAGCAATTGCAGCATATTTAGCCGCTTGTTTTGAAAACTCAATTTAATTTTCAGGGTACACTCTTATGCCCGATGCCCTGAGTGCTTTGACAGGGGCACAGTGAAATTGTGCAAGATATGTAACAGTTAGAAGAAAAAAACTCCGATTCCTTAAGCTACGATATGTTCTTGATTAGCATCAACAAACTTCTGTCCGCCCATCTGTATCTATGATTTGGAGAGCCTGGGAGACTATAAGATCAGGACACTTTTACTTTGAAATACTACTTCTCATATATCATACATAATTATATACCTTATATACCTTATCATAATATTATTATTATTATTAATACATCTGTACATATTTTTTCAGAACGGAAGAAAATCGCCAAATACGCCAAATTATACAGCAATTTCTATACAGCTGCGAATATGTTATGATAGGTAAACATAGGGTATCTCCTAGTGGAGTCAACTTGGCGAGAGCATTCTGTTTTTTTTTTGTTGTTTTTTGTTTTTTGCCCCACGTCTTGCTGCACTTTTACATCGGCCTTTCATTTGCCAACGCGTCGCATTTTTCAACCGTTTTTTCTCCTTTTCTGACCCGACTGCGTGTTGGCCGGGGAGAGCACTTGGGGAGGGGAAAAGGTCCAAACGATTTCCAGCATTCAATTTAAGTTACAGAGCAAGCTGCTGAGATTTATTACAGACCCTTAACAAGACTCTCCAGCGAGCCAGTCACCCAGGGCTGCCTATAATTTCTGCTATTCTTTTGTTTCACGTTTTTATTTCTTTGTATCCCGAACTCAGCTTCAGCACAGTAGTTTCTGGGCCGAGGAAATTAAAACGAATTGTTCGGCATATAAACTTTTTTTCTTTATGTGTTGATAATATTGCTTATTGTTTTAAATATTAAAAGCATTTTATGTCGATGACTTAAAGTTAGCATAAAATTATGTTGTATAATTTTTGAAGATTTAGAATCACTCGTAATTTTATTCGTATTTGTCTTTATTGAATTTGTAATATATTTAAACAGCACTTTCCTTTTTTAATAATAGGTATTACATTTATTGTTCATAGATTCATAGATATATGTTCATAGATATCCAACAGTTAGTTTCATTTTAAACAGTCACATTTAAACCATAAATTTTGTTCAATTTTATAAGCTGTGTAACTTGTGCTCATTGCATTTTATCAGTTCATTTTATAAGATTTATATATTTCGTACAATATAAAAACATTATATTTTGTACAATAGTTCATATAAGTAAAATTGAAAAATATCTTTTTTCAACTACTACGTCTTTGACTCGCACAAAGTACAGGCGATCGCCTGACAACAGTTTGCACAAGTTTTGTTCAATAAATTTCGACCAAACAATTAATTTCGTTGAGTTGGTGCATGGAAACGCATGCTGGCAACATTACTGTGCCATGCCACACACATTTACTGAAGAGATTCATCGAACACAGGACAGCCAGGGCAATAAGGCAGAAACCGACTTCTTAGTTTGCTTGCAGCTCAAGCGGAAACCACATAAATGCGGAAATGATAAAAGTGCCTGAAAACATGTCATCAAAGCGAATGCGATAAATTGCAATGGCGTTCAAATCCTTCAGCCTGAGTGCATGTCCCATCGCTTTCGACTCTTCTGTACCCATCCACACAATAAAATAACAATGAAAATAAAACAAAGTGAAGCGGAGACCAGCAGGACAGTGATGAGGACTCGAAATATCGACACTTCAATATGCGTACTTATGTATATATATATATATATATATATATATATATATATATACTATTTCGTTTCGATAGACAGTAACATGGTTGTTGTTCCGTGCCCTCGCTGTCCATATAATAAAATTGTTTTACACTCAATTGACTTGGTCAACTATAAAAAATAAACAAAACAAATAATCATTGTTTGCCAAAAAGGGCATCTAACTGAATGGAAGTCAAAATAACAGCAGAACCGTTGAGTAATTTTGCATGGCATTCGTGTGCGAGGCAGCAACCCGAACTTTTAACACCAGATCTCTAATAGAAAATATCTAATATATTTTGATTTAGCTAGATTTCTTTTAAAAGTATATAAATATGTTTAAATATATATAAGCAAAATAGGAACATTACTTGGCAATAGATGAACAACAATTTAATTTAATTTATTTTATTTACTGTAGTAAATCTGATATGGAACTTATACAAGATAATAATCGAATTAAAAAAGAAATCGAATTCATTTGCACAGTATCTGTGTCTCGTCACTGTTTAGTGCGTCTTGGATCAACGCGTTTGCCCTAGAATTCTCAGCAGAGTCCCAATCAGAGTCACAGTTTAGCTTTGAGCTTTCTATTCCCAGATGAATGTCGTGAACTGTCGCCTTAAAATTAGCCACCCACAAAATGCTGCAAACCTAACATTGAGCTTAGCTTTGGCTTTTACGACCATGTTGTGGGTGGAAGGTGGGCGGATGGCTGTAATTTAGTGGGTGGGTAGCAGCCATAAGCTGATTCTATTACATTTGCTTATCTGCATGCGTCTCACAAGTGTGTGTGCGTGTGTGTGTGTGTCCGTATCTGTATCTCTGGGCCCGTAATGCAGTAATAATCATTTGTTCGTTAGTGAAATTACTGAGTTGACCTTGAAGTAACGTCTACAGAAATTGGTAAGATTATTTTGAATTGGTTTTTCTCGCCCAACAAAAGGCATGCACACCCAAATACGCAGGCGACTAGCTCTGCGCGGGTTCGACCTTGTTTTACAATAAAGTTATAAAGCGAAAATTGCTTGTCATATGCACTTCTTTGAGTCTGGGTTCTGTTTCTATGAATATTATAAACTTTTCGATGAGGCAAATTGAATTTGAGTGACATAAAAGTCGACAAATGCTTACAGTTTGAGCTTCGTGTCTGAGATTCTCGGAGTGCCTCTCCGTCTCAGCATTTGACAAAGGTCAACGAAAATAAATCAAATATTGTGAAGGCATTCGTTTATTCAAATTGAAAAGCCACTGAGTCGCTGGGCCTTGGACGCCTTTCTGTGATGCTAAAATCCCAGAAACGAACAGACAGATATATATCTATGGCGTCGATTGCATTACGCATACGACATGTTGCCAATAGAAATGGCTTGGCCGAACAACATGAAAAGTAATAAAGTGGTTTGGGTAGACAACGGAATTGGCACCTAACAACTGGGACTCGAACAGATTAAAAAGCGAAACATGAGTTGGGTTGCAAATGTGTATAGAAATAAATGTTTTTGAATTGAATGATTGCAATAACAGATATCAGACATCTAAAGGTTTTCATATAAAGCTTTTGTATTCCTATCTTGCATCTTGACAGACCCTTGAATACTTGTATAAGATGCAAATAGTAAAGTTTATTGCTTTAAAAGTTCAATATCCCTTGAGCCATAAAGAACGAGTTTTGGAAGCATGGCGCAACACTAAAATAAATGGTTAAGAAATTGCTTGTAATTTTACATATTTATTATATATAGTAGCTTAATCCTCTTAGCTTAACTAAGACTAAAAATATGCATTAAAATAAAAATAATAACAGCAAATAAAATTATAACGCTAATGCTCGATAATCATGTTATTTATAAAGTAAAATCATCACATTATGAAAATTTGAGATGTTGATGAGAACCTTAACATCACAAATTGAAAACTCATGAAATCGACTTATGTATAATGCGCTTTGTCTGTTGAGAATAATCCGCTTAAGTGTTCGGATAAGTATGTAAGTCAGTAGCATTGAAACAATAAGAGATCCTTTAATTTTCTACGCCGCTTCAATGGCAAATTGTTGTCTCACTTGAGCTGATGTAGCATCAGTTTCGGCTTAATTGCCAAGACTCTTAGCTCGCTAGACGCTCATTGTGGCAGCTCAAATATCAGAACATTCTTGATTAGATGGCCGACTTTTAATTAAAGCGATTAAGTGGTCATAAAAGCGTCGCTGCCAGATGGCCCCAACCGATTATAAGCTGACAGTAAATTGAACATCAAATTTTTTTGAAGCCCTTTTGGGAAGTTGAAGGCAATAGATGTGAGAAGGTGTTTACGGATTCGTTAAGTGTGCAGCCCACATCTTGGCAGGAATTCGGGACACACATCTAGCAAGAACGACATGTTAGCTATAATGATAGCTACCGGATTTAAGCGTTCGGTATTTGCATATTTTATTGCCACAAAATAATATAAAAAAAATATATATATTTATGTAGATGTAAATGTATGTGTGTAAAGAAGTGCATCACTTGAAATGCTGAATGCAATTCTGCAGCTGACGACAATCT